GGAAAGAGGGATATCACTGGACACATAACCAACAACGATATGATCTGTGAAAACAGAAAAACTAATACAATAATGCTTCTTTATGTGTTCATTTAAAAACAATTAATTAACAAAGAAAAAAAGAGAGAGGGAAGGGAAATTTAATTCATGACGTGGGATATGCAAACATGAAATAAGATACAATACAATACTGCCCTAAGCCTCAAGGTACTTAAAAATTTAGTACGCTAACGTATCCGGGACAAATAATATCACAGTTAGAAATGAAAAAAAATCATATTCAAAATTATGATTAGATTATGAAAAAAGATATATTGCTACTTTTGACCAACTGGTAGTCTTATTAACAGCAAGACTTCTTCCTACCATCCCATCAATTCTAATTATTTCTACATTCATTTATGCAAACTGAGAGTTTAATTTCAAAGAAATGGTTCACTAGAGTGTAAATGAGATTTTGCAAACTTATATTCATAAGACAAGCAAAAGTAAAAAACAAAACATAACACCTTAACTGCATGATAACCATAGCAAGGCCTCCTTTTTTAATCTAGACGTCAACCCACATTATGATATCTTAACAATCAAAACAGGCATAAGCTAAGATATGAGAAATTCGAATGACCCCATTTCTACTAAATTACTTCAAAAGATTTTTTAACACAACCCATGCATCCAGCATTACAAGAAACCAAAACAGATTACTCATACAATTAATGTAATATACTTCCAATGGACACACAAGCAAAGAACGGAAGGTCTGGGAAATTTAAGGAAATAAAATATCTTTATGGCAAAAGTTTTATATTTCTCTCAACAACATCATATAAAAAATATGCCTCATTGCTTCAGAAAGTTAAATTCACATCCCTTAAACAGTATATGTTTGTCATACATATTGCAGACATACAGCAATATATTATTATTACAGCATAACTTATAGCCTATAATAAGGTATTAAACATCCAAATACAAGTCTAATATGATGATTATGGAAATTACCAAGTAACCCTAGAGCATGATTGGATCATTCTCATCCTTTAGTCTCAGCTTGGAGGTCTCCTCTTCTGAGGCTGTCCCTGATTATCCCAACTAAATTAACCCTGTGTCATTCACTATCACACTACCCTGCTGTTTCCCAATTTTCATAGCACTTACCACTATCTGAAATTATCTTGTTTATTTCCTTGGTTTTTGTCTTTCTTCCTCCACCAAAATGTAAGCTCCATAAGCACAGGTACCTTCTCAGTCTTGCTCACCACTGAATCCCCAATACATAGGACAGTGTCTGTACACAGTAGGCATTTCATAAAAATACTGAATAAATAAATTAGAATAATTAGCTCAAACAATAACGTAAACCAGAAAAAAGAAGATAGTGGACTACACAGCAAAGAAGCTAGCAAGGAAGAATGGAATTTTGAGAATGACTGCTTCATAGATGACCCTTTTCTCAGAGAAACTGGTACCTCTAAACTGCAAAGGCAACCATTTAAAAAGCGAGCGTCTGTATCTTACATGATTAAGCAGGAGGGCACTTCGCTTCTCATGCCACAATTACCTCTGTCAGCAGGGTTTTATTTTAAGGGAGCCTTGACTACAAGGCCACTCCAACCACAAATCTGCTGCCCCATACTTTACCAGCAGGCATTACTGGTCCACTTGAATTAATAATTTGTTGGCTGCATCAAGTTCAGACATGCCCTGTCTTCTCCATTTAGACGATGATCCTTCTCCAAATAAGCCTCTTTGCAAACCCCATAGACTCATGATTCTGCTACCTACTCCTCACCAGTGCTCTATCAGAAATGTCACTGAAGGGAATGGTAAAAGTAACACAGAACACATCTTGCCTTGTTGTCAGTTGTTAGCTGGTTGTTTACCCATCAGTCATCCTAAAAACAAACTTCCTGTAGAGGCAATAAAGGGGAAGGTTCTTATTCAGGCACACACACTAGCTGTATGTTCTTGGCAATTCACTTACCATCTCTGTCTCAGTTTCCTCATTTGTAAAACAGGGATAATCAAGAGTATCTATCTCAAAGAGATTCTGTGAGGATTCATTAGTATACTGTAGGATATGCAGAAAGCATCAATAAATGGGAGCGACTTTTAGTTCGAAGAGGATGATGATGACTATGATTTTTTTCACTAGTTTATGAACTCCTGGAGGGTAGCGACAGTTCTTGGTTCCTGGTAAGATTCAATTTAACTTAAAAACGTGGAAAGGGGGACAACAGCTTCCTCATTTTGCTGTGTCCAGACCCCTCCCCACTAAATCAATCTCTAGGCGCCTGCCATTTGCCTAAACTGGGGGGGTAGGGAGCTGGGATTATAACAAGATAGAAGCAAAGGGTGGGAAACACCCAGTGGCATCATGGGTAATAAAGAGAATTTCCTTTTTTTCTTCAGGCTTCTGGCCCCAGAGAATCGCAAAGGCAGGGTAAACAGCGCTCCTAGGGTCTTTGCTTGGTGGTAACTGCCGTTCAGAAATGGCCAGGGCACACCCTGGGGACGCTCCCCTGGCCAGAAAAATAAAACGGCCCAACCACTTTTATCAACAGGAGGTGGTTCCTCGGGTCTGGCCCGAGTTTATTTACTGGGGACCCTCTGCCCTCACCCTAGCGCCCCAAGCCCACCTCCCCCAACTCCTCTGATAAGGCTCCATCCCGAACACCCACCAGACGGTGCCAGCATCTGAGCATCACCTCCGCGCCTGGTGCCCCCAGCCCCCGGGATATCCGCCTCCGCCCACCCGGAGCCTTCCCAGAGGCTCGAGGCCCAAGAGCCCGGCACCATCGCTCGGGTTCCGTGCAGAGCCCGCCCTCAGATAGCGCGCCAATTCCGCCCGCCCTGCGGCCTCGCAGCCGGACCCGCTGAGTCAAGGCCCCTCTCACACACACACACCTGTTCTCCCACGGCCACGGCAGCTTTCCTCCCCTCGCTACGGGCCTTGGCAGGAAACAAACTGTTCAATTGGTACTGACTGAGAGCAGCTCCATCCACCGCCGCCTCCTCCTCCTCCTCCCCGCCATATTACGGTGCTCAGGCGGCAACGCGGGCTCCTGGCAACCGCCGCCGCCGCCGCCGCTGCCGCCGCCGTCCGGACTCCACCTCTTAGGGCCGGCACTTCCGGTGGTTGCTTCCGGGCCGTTGGACCGGTTGGGCCTCCAGAAAACTACAATCCCCGAGGTGCTTTGCGCGCCTGGATACGCGTCCAGGCCCAGCGATAGAGGGCGTTGTACTTGAGGGAGGCGCGGTGCAAGCTGGGAGGCGTAGTCTTCACTGCCAGCTCGCAAATCTTATTTCATTAAGAACGCTCCTCAGGTCTGAAGCCCTCTGAAATATTCCTTGAAACTATTTTTCACTTACCGGTATAGAGGTAACTTCTTTCTGTATAATCGTTGTAATACATACAACGGTCACCAAAATTTTTTTCTCTGTAAATAAAAAATTACTGAATCCTAGATGCCAACTCTAAGCTTCAACACATCCATACCCGCTTGCAAATCAGTGGGAAAATAGCTCCAAGAAAGGTAGTTAACAGGTTCAAGATGGCAGGAAAAGCTCAGAATGTTTTGCCAAAGTTCTCTATCGAAACATGTTACCAGCTTTTTGTCAACTGAAAAAAAAAAAAAGCACAACATAAGAGTTGTGAGTTAAGTTTTATTTGGGGCAAAATGAGGGCTCTAGCCCAGGAGACAGCATTTCAGATAGCTCTGAGAAACTGCTCTGAAGAGGAAGGGGGGAAGGCCAGTATTATATATGGTTTTAGTGAAGGCGGATCCGTGCAATCAAGCACACATTTTGGCAGAGGCTTGCTGCTAGTCACAGGAGCAGATGTCACTGTTAACGATTTTAGCGCTTTCCTAGATATGAGGAGATGCAAGAATTGGGCTCATAAAATCTTCCGAGAATATCTAACTATCTCCCTGAACTCCTTTCAGGGTGTGTTGAAGGTCAGTGGCTGCAGTGGCTAGTAACTTAATCCTTGTAGAGGAAGATGGCAACTGCCAATTTTTTGTGGGCATTTCTAAAATATGATTTAGCAGCTAGCCACTTTCCATTTCCTAAATCGGCCTTACTTTCTGCCTCTCTTACTGACCCTCTTTCCCGTGCCTATTTTTTCACATGTAAAATAAGATTTTCAAAAGTGCCTATCACAAGGTCGGTTGCGAGGAACAACTGAGATAATTCTTGCAGTGCCTTGTACAGAAGCCCCATCATTAGCCCTGAGTAGGAGGAGAAGGTTAGGAGGAGTAGCAGTGGAAAATTCATGGCATTAGACTGGGGTGTCATGATGTCAGCCTTGAATTTGCCATTTCATTGACTCTGCTCAAGTCCTTTGACTTCTCCTGGCTTCAGTTTATTCATCTATAAAATGAGGGCATTATTAAAATCCCTTCCAACTTTATAATCCAATTATGCCTCCTTTGCTATGTTCTTTCATTCCCTCAGAATCTGAAAAAATCCTTCTAAAGTCGACTGAATTCAGTTTCCTGAGGTAATACCCAACCGTGCCTGTTGTGAGAATAACACACAAAGCAGTTGCAGTCATGGAACCTGGAATATGGTTATGTGCTCTATAAATGTTAACTGTACTCTCTAACACTATTATTTTGCCCCACAAGAATGTAAGCCCCATGAGAGCAGGGATCCTGCCGGTCCTGTTCACTTGCTGTTGTCCTGAGCATCCGGACTGCTGTTCGCATACCTTGAATTGAATTAATAAATTGTGTAAGCGTCCTGCCCCTTCAAAGTTTCCTTGACGGCAAAATGGAGCCATTAAGAGCCTTTCCAGTCTTACGACCTTAAGACTGCTATCGTATCTCTCGCCTTGCTTCTAGAGTTTGAAAGCCCCGGAGGAAATCCGGACCACAGAATAACGCAAAACGTACTTTGGAACTCCAGCCGGAAGCTCGGACCAGCCTCCGTTGCCTTGGCAGCTGCTACGCCCCGAGCTAATGGAGATCCTCGGCCCTGATTGGCTGGACCTCGGGCTCCTTCTACGGAAGTAGTCGCGGCCGCCATTGTGCGGCGCTGGTCCCCTCGAAGTGTGTCAGCTGCGGCTCGCGCTTTGGGCTGTCGTTGTAGTTTCTTGGTTTCCTGTCCGCGGAGCCCGGCGGGACCGGGACTCCCGTCCGTGCCGGTGCAGGCGCCGGCATGTGGCTATGGGAGGAACAGGGGGGCCTCATGGGCCCCTTCTCCTTCCTGATGATGATGCTGCTGCTGGTGACGCGCAGTCCCTTCAATGCCTGCCTCTTCACCGGCAGCCTCTACCTCCTGCTGCGCCTCTTCAGCTTTGAGCCGGTGCCCTCCCGCAGGGCCCTGCAGGTGCTCAAGCCCCGGGACCGCGTCTCCGCCATCGCCCACCGCGGCGGCAGCCACGACGCGCCCGAGAACACGCTGGCGGCCATTCGGCAGGTGAGTCCTACACTCCTCCCGCCCTTGCGCGCCTCCTGGGAGCTTGGACTTGTGCCTGTCCTTCCGAAGGTTCCCCAGCCTTTTCATGATAGCCTTACCACTTCCCCATTTGTCCACAAGGAATACATTCAAGTGGCCCTGGATCCCTCTGAATTACGGAAAATCTCCAGACTTCAAGTGTTTATAGAACACTGCAAATACTTAACGTATTTGCTATGTGCTAGGTACTGAGGATGGTCATGAACAAGACAGAAAGGGTACCTGCTTTCACAGAGCTTGCATTGGAGTAGGGGAGACAGATCTTAAATAAACACATACCTAAGGTACTTTAAGAAAGGGATGAGTGCAATGAAGAAATAGGGTTACCGAATAAGGAATGTCGGGAGGGTCATTTTAGACAGAAATCCTGTCCGAAGAAGTGATCTTTGAACTGAGACCGGGATTATGAGGAGCCCGCCATGAATCTGGGGGAAAAGTGCTCCAGGAAAAGGGAACAGCAAGTGCAAAGGTCCTGAGGTGGGAATGGTGTTGGAATCCTCGTGTAACAGAATAGACAGTATATGGCCTGACTTCAAGGGACAAAACAAAGGCTCGTGTGTGAATGAAGTAGGAAATGTGGCCAGGTTAAGTAGAGCCTTGGTCAGTCGTTAGCTAACATACTCTAAACGGATCACCTTCACAGTGGCTGTCTTTACTTGTCCTCCAGATTATCCAAATCATCTCCTTATCACCTTTCCCCATGGTAAGACAACACTAGCAGCGGGACTCCTGATAATTTCTGCCTCCCCTTTCCACAGGGATCTCTCAGCAGTCTCCAGACTTCATCATAATAACAGCTTGCGTAGTAAGAGAGCTTTGCAGTTGTCTAGGCATTTTTGCATATGTGGAAATATATCTGATCCTCTCATTTCTCTGAAACATTATTTTAACATTAAGTGGGTAGGAAAACTGGCTCAAACACACACAGCTCCTTTTCAAATTCAGCCTTCTGATTCCAAGTCCCAGTGCTCTTTGTCATAGATTAGAATATGTTCCAGGATGTAAAATTTGGACTGAATGTCCTTTCTTTGTCCAGCTAGGGACAGACAGTATTGTGTAATGAACAAGTTACTTAAGCGCTCTGTGTCCCAGTCAGAGTCACGGGTAGGATGTAGCAAGCAAGGCACCCTAGGGTACCGCTCCTCACTCTAGTCCCAGCTCTGACCTTAAGTTTTCTCATCTGTAAAATGGGAATGATGTTAATATCCACCTAATCGGTTGTGATTCGATGAAATAGGCTACCTCACATTAAATGAGAAAGTATGTATGCGAAATACACATACACATATAGTGTGTCATATCCTGTTGTGTTGCAGGGGAATTATAGCTAAATTCCATTCATGTCTTGTATGTTTAGGTTGAACATGTCTTTTTTTTTTTTTTTTTTTTTTTTTTTTTTT